ACAATGATGCACACAACATACCAGTTAAGAATCGAAGTTTTGGAATCAGAGAAATCCAAGTCAACATCTAATTTTGCTACTTACGAGGTGTGATCTTGGGCAAGTTATTTAAAATTATCCTGCATCAATTTCCTCATCTACTATATGAAGAGCAGTTATTTAACAGTTAAGTCTCAGAATCAAAAAGTGGTGATGTATAAAAAGCACCTAGCACAACAATGACACACAGTAATAGTTTACTAAATGTACCCATTATTACCTAAGCCAAACTAGTCTGAGTTCCCAGAGAGCAGATCCATGTCTTACTCTTTTTGTATTCCTTCCCATTCCTAGTATATGGTCTTCTGCATGTGCTTAATAATTGTTTAGTTGATGAAATCTGATTAACACAGAAGTAATCTCCTAGGTAGAGCCTAACAAGGTAAGGTCCAAACTTTAGCAAATATTGAAAATGGCTTGCTAATTATATTAGCATAACCAGTTTATATTTTAACTATACCATATACATATACAGATCTTCAAGCATCATTGTGAAAGTGTTCATACCACGTATCAATGATTAGGCCAATATTCAAGATGTTTGATATAATTACTCAAAAGCCTAAATTAATCTAAAAACATTAACATGTATCTAGCCACAAAGCAAGCCTTTAACAAATTAAAGAATTCCTGTGTCATCCTTTTGTATAAAATTAAGCTAAATCTTAAATGCACTTTTCCAACTGTCCCTCTGAGTTGTTTCTGTGCCATGAGATTCCTAAGAGAGACCAATCGGTTCTACCATGGTATTCTTAAGAGTACCAAGGGATGCAGTGTTTCCAGACCAGTAAGAATACTACTAATTCTTAAATTAAGAATTACTACTTAATTCTTAAAGTAGATTCTTTAATCCTGTAGTTAGCAACAATACAACTACAGCAATGGTCAAAGACTGGTAAAGAAAAGGACAGGTAACAACAACTATGGGGAAGGAAAAAATGGGATACAACAGATGACTTTAGGAAATTGATGACTTTAGTCATCAAAACATGACTTTAGGAAATTATCAGCTAACTTCAAAAAGCAACATCACAAGAGGAACAAAACTTTCTAGTACTATGTGAACTACATTATGAGTCTAACTATTGTCACAATGTGTAAAACATTAATGTGTAAATTCTTCATAAAAATATTACTCAAAGCAACATATATATTCCACACTCACATCAACTAGGAATTAAAAAAAAAACAAAGTGATAACATTTACTGGATAAATGTTAGGAAGTTCAGTTTAAGATTTTCCCAATGATAATCATGCTAACTTGAGATATTTATGAAAGTCTTACAACACAGATGTGTTTAACACTACTGGTTAAAGTGGACTATCTAAATGATATTATGCTTTCAACTAAGAGTATTTTTAATTTTCATTGAGATTTTTATACTTCTAAAAGATATGTTTTAAAATATGTATTTTATATTTCTAATAACATGCCAAATCAGTGACATGGTATTAAAGTTAACATAAAGCCTTTATACAGGAACTAAAGAATGTTACTTTAATGCATTTTTAAAATGATGGAAGCAAATATTTTCAAAGTTAAAAATTTTGTTTTTAAAAATCCTGAAACAGGCTGGGCAAGGTGGCTCATGCCTGTGATCCTAGCACTTTGGGAAGCCAAGGTTGGAAGATTGCTTGAGGCCGGGAGTTCAAGATCAGCCTGAGCAAAAGCAAGACCCTGTCTCTACAAAAAATAAAAAATTAGCCAAATGTGGTGCCATGAGCCTGTAGTCCCAGCTACTCAGGAGGCTGAGGCAGGAGGATTGCTTGAGACCAGGAGTTTGAGGTTGCAGTGAGCTATGATGACACCACTGCACTCTATCCCAGGTGACACAACAAGACCCTGTCTCCAAAAAAAAAAAAAAAATCCTGAAACTATTAACTACATATAGGAAAAAAAAAATTTAATGTTTCAGTTATTCTACATATTTTCAGGGATCCAATCACTTCCCACTGGGATCAAGTCATTGATTCTGAATCTGTTAGGCAAAAAAGAAAAAAATAATAATCTTTTGAATTATTAAACCACAGCTTTACAGTTAGCAAGCTCTCAGTCACCAATCCTTAACTTGCTTTAAATTTCAATTACTTTCAAAGTAAGACCCCTAAATATATTCAAACTATATATGTAATTTTAAACCCTTATGTTACTAACTTTACTATATAACAACACAATATTGGTTATACCTTACCACATACATTTGCACACTGAATCCAGAAAAGATCATATTAAAAAAAGAAAATATAAACCTGTATTCATCAGACAATTGGTCTGTTTATTCTGATGATTTTTCATAGCCTGTCTATAAGAACATTTGCTTGCTCAAAACTCAGCACAGGATAAATAATTTAAAGGTAATTTATTTCTAAAATACACTAAATCCCTAAAGTAAAACCCTTAAGAGGCAAACTTCAGTGGAAAGGAATGTTTTTTAGATTTCATTAGTAAAAGGCAAACTCTTATGAAGTATCTAAAGGTAAGTATAAAAAATACCAATCTGAAGAGGAAAAGAGAAAAGTGATTTGGGCTGTCATTTTTACAGAGCTATTAAGAACACTCACAGCAAAATCACAACTTTAACCAAGAGCCAGAGAGAACAATTCTTCTCTCAGAATTCTTTCAAAAATTTTCAATTCTCTTATTATTGATGCTCTATCCATTAACACTGCCTAGAAAATGACTCTGCAGCATTTTGTAAGTTCAGTCTATGGTTCTATTTCCTAAAGTGTACAATAACACTAATAAATTATGTTCTGGGCTTAGTACAACATTTACAAAAGAAAGCACTATTCATACAATCTTAGGAATGGAAAGGAGCCCTACAAAGGCCATATAATTCAAAGAAATTTTCAATATGTTCTAACTTCATCATGGATTTTCAAGTTACCTTTTCCAATATATCAATGCTATCAACTGTATTTACATAAACTTATTAAAATGACTGCAATTTAACTTGTACCTTGTATAGTTTTATGATCTTAAACTTTCAACAGAAATATTTAACTTGGTAAAAAATCAGTATTCTAACAAAAGCAGCAAAAAGAACATAGAAATAATTTCAGGCTAACATTATTTCAGTAAACTTATTTTAAAGCCCTATAGCACAAACTCATCTTACGTGATATATCAGACTTTTTTTCCAAGTAAGAATCACCTTTTTCCCCCCACAATGCCATAAGTAACTACACAGAACTTTAAGTCTTAAAAGGAAGAATTACGAACTACTCATTAAAATAAAATTTCACCAGAAGTATTTTTCTTGATATGATCTACATAACATAAAATATACTTGTGAGTGGTCAATAAACACTACATTTTCTGAATCGCTGGCCTTTTTACCAATTACATTTTGATAAAGCATTAGCCAATTATTTATTAACCAAACTTTTCTGCTCCAGAAACCCACAGGCATACTCCTAAAGCTTCTAGAAACCCCAATATTTCTGTTCCCTCCCTTTCTGCATGAGGCATTAAATCTTCAAATTAGTCTTATCTAGCTACTTTCCAGATAATCACTATTGTTTACATTATTATTTGCCACATTTTTAGTTGGAGAATAAAGACTATTCAAGCATAAAACTAACCTATTCTTTCACACAAACTATACTAAGCTCCTAATACCGAATATTTTATAATCCTTTTATCCAAATTACCCAGTGATAGGTCTGATGTTTCAAGTTCCATTCAACAGGGCTTGATATGTTTCAGGTTAAAGTTAAATATGTTCATCATTATGTTCTATACCCTACTTCAAAAGTGCTTGACAAAGATTACCGACATCCTTCTTCTCTCTAGAATAGTAAATATCCTGTCGTAGAACCCGGAGAATACTGCTTTGCGCTAAAGAATATAGCAGGAGTGTGCACTTCTCCCAGCAGCTGTTAGTAACTTCCAGACGCCTGTTGGACTGTCACTTGGGTTAAATTAATCATGGGCCGTCTTATACCACTTTACGTTTTCCTTTTTAATCTTGCAATTAATGTGGCAAATCTACAGATCTATTTTTAAAATAAATGAGTGAAGTACTAAGAAAAATAAGCATTACATTAGCTACTGTCCTAAAGAAATCGTTTCTTAAACCACAACAGATGAGTTGTATATGATACTGGAAGGCTTTAAAAAGATATAATTTTCTACTTAACCTTACCAAACATGTCTGCAAGTTTTCAAGTGAGAGAATGTTCTATATTTAAAAAGGTGTAATGCAGTCTATCAGAACTGTGCTGCTCAAATGCAAGCCCAGAATATCCTACATTTAGCAAATTTTAGGTATGTCTGGTTACCTGCTGAGCTTTCTGCACCCTTTGTCACCCAGTGATGCTCTCACCAGCAAATACTTCCTATCCTTTAAAAAAAAAAAGGGTTTTCTTCCACCCCTCAAAAAATACACATTAGACTTAGACGTTTCTGCATACTAATACGGAACCACTAATACCACTAGGTATTATGGCTCTCAAAGAATCCTCTTTAGCAGCCTCCCCTGGGACGTAGTGCTCAGCGGAGCTTTAAACCAGTCAGACTCGCAGCCAGTTCCCTTTGCAAAAGCAGCACCAGAGGCAGACTCAATACCGCAATGCTGCTGCTGACTTTTCCTAGCTTCTCCAAAAAAAAAAAAAAAAAATCAGTCAAGCACCCTGCAGACCCCGCCGGCTGTTCTGCAGCACTAAACAGAAACCTCCGCATTGCTCAGCTTAGAGCGCGGAGCCCGACTGCAGGGCGGGGAAGCAATTGCCGTCTAGAGGCTCGGTCGAGGGCGGGGTGTTGGGGTGAAAAGTGAAGGCGCCCGGAGTGCAGGGACCACGACGAAGCAGCAGCCAGGGCGCCGGCGTCCCGGCTCCGCATCGCGCTCCGGCCGGGGCCGTCGGATAGCGGGCGCCCGGCTGGGAGCGGACCCCTCCCGGGGAGTGGGGGTCCCACTGCGGCCGGCCAAGCCCCACCCGCCGCCCCCCGGGCCCTCACCTGTCACGAGCGCCGGGCTAGCGCCTGCCACCGCGGCGGAAGAGGCGGCGGCGGCCGCGGCGGAGCCGGCCGCCCGCCGCCCGCGGAGGTGCCTCGGCACCAGCTCGCATCCGTCCGCCGCTCCGGCCACCAGCAGCCCGAGCACCAGCAGCGCAGCCCAGCGCCGCCGCCGCAGCCAGCCCGCGGCCGGGCCGGGAGTCGCAGCGGGATGAAGATGGGAAAGAGAAGCGGGGAGAAAGCGCAGCGGCGCCCGGGCCGCCAGCCACTCGCCCGCTCCGCGAGGCGACGCCGCCGCCGGCGACTTCTCGGGCCGCCCCCGCCACCTCAGACGCGGGCTCCCGCCGGGCGCCAGCCTGGTCCCCTCGGCACCGGCGGCCTCCGGAGCTCGGGTCCCCGCTGAGTTCATTGGTTCCGGTTATTCAAAAAAAAAAAAAAAAGGTGGCGGGCAGGAAGATACGGCGTCTTCAGGCCGTCCGCGACACCCGCGCCGCTGCCGCGGAGAGACCGGTATCCGCTGCTCTGGCGCCGCCAAACCCCAGCCCCAGCGCCCGCGCCGCCGCCGCCGCGGCGCATCCCCCCGCCCCCTCCGGCCCGCGCTCGTCGTAGTACCACGCTCGGCCGGGACGCCTCCCTCCCCTCACACATTCGCTCGCATACCAATCCCCCGCCTCCCGGGGCCCGTCCACGGCGCAGGCGCAGCGCTGCTGCAGTGCGCGTGCGCGCCGCGCAGTCCCGCCCCTGGGGGCGTTCCCGGACAGGAGCGCTGCGGGGAGGTTTCTAACGCTTCGGCAAGCCGCGAAGATAGGAGGCGGGGAGGAAGGAGGACGTGTCCCCCTCCCCCAGTCACGCCCCCACCGCGACTGGGGAGGCGCAGGGAGAAGAGTACTGACATCCCAGATTTTTAGGGCGAGTTATAGCCTTGTGGAGGGCAGCAAAAATAATTGCACGGGCCAGGAAAATTCTGTAATCGGAAACAACGGAGTCCCCATAACTTCAATATAGGTGGCGTTTGCAAGTGGCTGTGTAGCGGCGACGGTGTGCATAGCCTAGTATTTATTTACCAAACATTTAACAAAGCGCTTGCTATGTGCCAGGGTGCCAGGTATTGCTTTAAGCGCTTTACAGATTCACACACAGTAACTCTACCGTTATCATCCCCTCTTCACAAATGAGGAAACTAAGGCCCAGAGATGTTAAGTCACTTGCCCTTGAGGTCCACAGCTAATAAATGGAAGATGGGCCAGATTTAGCAGCCACTGAATGAAAATACTATATTTAAGAGAATTTGCTCTAATTTCTGATTCTCCTATGTTCAGGGATTACCTGAACTCATCATCTCCATACCCTCGTCCTATCCCATGGAGTCTTTGCTGTCAGCTGAACAGGTTGACAAAAGGACAATGGTATAGATTTGACTTGGCTTCGCCTAACTGTAATGAAGCAAAGTTCTTGTGCACCCCAAAATCTACTTTCTATTATAGATCCTCCTCGGAACCCAGCCTAATTGGTTTGAAGAAAAAAAGAACCGGAATCTTTGTCATCCAAACTAGTTGCCAACACATTTTTCAGGCCATCTCCCTTCAAATATAAAAGAAAGTGAATGTAATGTCACTATAAATTTAAAGCCCTGTAAATTCTCTCTCTCTCTCTCTCTCACACACACACACACACACACACACACACACACACACACACAGAGCATTCTCTCTCCTAGGGGAATAACGTTTAAAATTTGCAGATAGGGATCTTACACACAAAGGTCTTGTTTGCTATTGGGTTTTTTGTTGGTTTGGTTTGGTTTTTTATTGGTTTCTTGGCTTGCCTTCTAAAGTCAAGAAGATACTCAAATTACACATTCTCCTAAAGAATTTCTTAGGCAGCCCACCAAACATAACCAAGAATATGGTTTATTATGGAAGGGCAGATGTACAGTTTAGAAAAGAATCAAGAATGTCTTTGAGGCTACTCAATCTATCAAACAACTATTTCTTGGCAGACGTTTTGGGGGCATCGTGTTCAGGTGGCAATTCTTTATAGGGCAACACGGAGATTATATTTCCTCTGCTGAAAGGCACAGCAATGAAGTCACACATTTGCTGAGTGCCCACCACAAAGAGATAATTCTTCTAGAGGACCAGGAAAATTAAAAAAATAATAATAAAAAAATAAAAAGTCTGTTCCAACTCTCCAGGAGGTATTATTTTATTTATTAAATATTTACCAAGTGCCTAGTATGTGTGCCAGGAAAGGTACTGAGTGGTGAGGATTCAACAGAAAATAAGAGAGACATCTGAAAAAGTCAATTAAGTCAGCACTCAGGAATATGAGATAGCACAGTCCCTGCCTGGGGAATCTTACAGTTTAGCTTAGGAGATAAAATTTACCACCATCAAACAATCAGAGGCTAATACAAGATAGTGGTCAATCGGTTGCTAAATTGAGTAGTGCAAACTGTGTTATAGCAATAACAACAGTATAAGGCCCCGACAAATTAACAAATCACCAGGCCAAGTTTCTTTTTTTTTAATATATATATTTTTTTATTTTAGCATATTATGGGGGTACAATTGTTAAAGTTACATATATTGCCCATGCCCCCTCCCCCCTCGAGTAAGAGCTTCAAGCATGTCCATCCCCTAAACGCTGTACATCTTACTCATTGTGGTTGCATACACCCATCCCTTCCTCCCCCCTGCCACCCTCCTGACACCCGATAAATGTTACTCCTATACGTCCACTTAGGTGTTGATCCGTTAATGCCATTTTGCTGGTGAGTACATGTGGTGCTTGTTTTTCCATTCTTGAGATACTTCACTTAGTAGAATGGGTTCCAGCTCTATCCAGGAATATACAAGAGGTGCTCTATCACCATTGTTTCTTAAAGCTGAGTAGTACTCCATGGTATACATATACCACGTTTTATTAATCCACTCATGAATTGATGGGCACTTGGGTTGTTTCCACAACTTTGCAATTGTGAATTGTGTTGCTATAAACATTCGAGTGCAGGTGTCTTTTTTGTAGAGTGTCATTTGTTCTTTTGGGTAGATGCCCAGTAGTGGGATTGCTGGATCAAATGGTAGATCTACTTGTATCACTTTGAGGTATTTCCAGCTATAAACATTTGAGTGCATGTGTCTTTTTCATAAAGTGACTTCTGATCTTTTGGGTAAATGCCCAGTAGTGGAATTGCTGGATCAAATGGTAGATCTACTTGTATCGCTTTGAGGTATCTCCATATTGCTTTCCACAGAGGTTGAAGATGATACAGTATTTTCTTCTTTTTAAATATAGGGAGGGTGTTGACACAGAGAGTACTGAATTTGGAGTGATAAATGTTTGTTCCTCTCACTCCTGGAGCCACAAAAGAGCTAGGGAACCATCAAGCACTTAAGAGACCACTCTCAGGCCAGGGACCAAGAATAAACCTACCACCTTATACCATCTTTGTCACTGGTACAGAAGTTTCCAGCTGCTAAATGAGTAGAAAGAATATACCTTGCTGAACACAGCTACAGTGTCACAGTGCATCATGACATAAACCTAAGTACAGAAAAGAGAAAGTCCATTGGTTTGGAAGAAAAAGCCCCTGCCTAGAAACTACAGATGCTTCTATTTGCAAGCCAACCATAAGCACCAGACTCCCATTGAGGCAATCTCTTACCTTTCTCCTCAGGTTTCCTGTCCCACCTCCAAGCCTTTGCTTTTCCCTTCCTTGCCACTCAAAAGCTTTCTTCCTTCCTCTTGCGAAATCCTATTCAAAATCTACCTTGAGCTTTTTCGTGGCACCTATCCTACTCCTAAAGCCCATCCTATACCGCTTAACGTCCAAACCTGGAGATTTGCCACTTGTTTACACAACGTCTTTACTGTCATGTCATTTTCACCAAGTCATGACCTCAAAAAGTCTGACGGGCAGCACTGAGCTTTGAAATCAGACAAATGGCATGTCCACCACTTCTCTGCTGTGTAACCTCTATGCAGTTAGTATGCGCTCCATTTCTCCACCTATAAATTGGGGACCCAATAATGCCCGTCCCACAGGGATGGTGGCGGCGGGAGAGTAAAAGAATACGGAAAGCCCCTGCTCGGGAACCTGGCTCACAGGTTCGTTACCATCCCGGGGGAGAACTGGCGCCGGGCTCTGGGCGTGTGCTCCAAGCGTGCTCTTGGCTTAAACACAGCGCACTCTGTCTGCCCATGTTCGATTTCACCTTCCTGCAAACAAACCCCAAACTCTTGGGGCGCGCCCAGCACAGAGGCGCAGCAGGATCCGTGCACCCGGCTCCTCCCCAACCCAGAGGCAAACCCGCCCTTCCCAGGAGTCGGGCTCCCTCCCCATCTGCTGCTTCTCCGCTGGCGCCCCCGCAGCCAGGACCGCCCACGCCGCGCCGCCAGCTCCAACTCGGAGAACCGGTTCTCGGCGGGCGAGCGAGGCAGGGCGCCTGCGCCGCCACCCGGCAGCCCGCGCATGCCCGCTGCCGCCCGCCAGCTTTCCCCAGGTGCGCGAGCCTGCGGACGCCCGCGGTTCCGGGACGCCCCGCGGCGCCGCTCCCCGGCCGGTGGCTCCCACGCGGTGGGCGGCGAGCCCGGCGCCCGGGCGCCGCGCAGTGACGTCACCGCGTGGGCGGGCGCGGAGCGGAGTGGGGATGCAGGCGGAGGAACAGGGAATTCCGGCCTGAGCTTCACCCGGGGCGGCTCTCTCCGGCTCTCCACCGCCCACGGCGCTTCTCCCTTCTGCGTGTGATCCAGAGTAACATTTCCAGCCTCAGCTGCGTGAGCCTGGGATTTGGGGGCTCACTGAACCCCAAGGGCCACCCGGCTTCGCCTGCTCGTCGTGGTGAAGCCCCTCAGAGAATTGCAAAGAGCTGCCTTTGGTAGAAACCCTGCTGTGTACCGGCCACTTTGTTATGTTTTTCCACAGGTTTGCAAAGGAATTGAGGTCCTGAGAGCTTTGGAAACATCTCCAAAGTTATACAGCCAATATGGTGGCTCCAGGACTCCAACAGTGAGGACCACAATATGGTCCTCAAATTATTGAATAAATTAAAGCGCTAAGAGAAAAAGTAACTCAGTGGAAGTAATTCATTAGCAGGACCCTTGCTCCCTAAATCCAATGAAGTGTGGTAGTTAAAGGAAGGTGGAAATGTCATTGCATCTTTCTCCAGGAGTGGAGGAAGGAAATCTTTTACAAAGCGCCTTTCATTGAGGGTAGGAAATTAAAAACTCCAGAGTTTTTAGGTTACTGACATGGTTTTTAAAAAGCCACTCAACAGGTCAAAAGCAAGTAAACTTTGTCCACCAAAGCCAAGGGAGTCAGTGGGTTTGTGGGGCGGGTCATTGCTATTATTAAACAAGGTATGTTTACTCAGTTACTGCTTAAGTTGAAGTGTTATGTGAATATTATTGATGACATATCTGATAAGAGCTGAAGCAGTAGGAGTGTTGATACTTCCTGTAAGAAGAGGAGTAGAATTGTGATGGAGATTAAGAAAAAAAGTAAAGATACAATTGAAAATGATGAGAAAATGATAACTATTTCATTTGCACACAGGTGAATTGTTGGATAATAATGACAATTCTGAAAATGAAAGGCAAGTTATACAACAGGTAAAACACGATATGCTTATGCACTTGACAGCAAGAGATTCAAAAAATGATTGATAAAATGGAAAAACTTAACAGTTTGATGCCAGAAACTAAGCTGCCAAGTCATATACCTACTAACCTAATCTTAACTCACATAAGACCAAGTGTTTGCTCTGGAACTAAAGCTCAGGACAGCAAAATAGTACAGTATGGCTCCATAGTTCAAGGCCCCAATCAAATGTTCATAACACACCAAAAAACTGTTAGAACTGATAAATTCAGTAAAGTTGCAGGTTACAAAATCAATATTCAAAAAATCAGGATCATTTCTTTAACACTAAAAACAAACTATCTGGAAAAGCACTAAAAACAAACTATCTGGAAAAATTGAGAAAACAATCCCATTTACAATAGCATCAAAAAATAAAATACTTAGGAGTAAACTTAACCAACGACGTGAAAGATCTGTACATGGAAAACTATAAAACATTGATGAAAAAAATTGAGGAAGACACAAATAAATAGAAAGATGTCCCATGATAATGGACTGGAAGAATAAATATTCTTAAAAATGTCCACATTATCCAAAGCAATCTACAGATTCAATGCAATTCCTATCAAAATTCCAATGTCATTTTTCACGGAAGTAGAAAAAAAATCCCAAAATTCATATGGAACCAGGAAAGATGCCAAATAGCCAAAGCAATCTCAAGCAAAAAGGACAAAACTGGAGGTATTATACTCCCTGATTTCAAAATGTTATAAAGCTATTATAATCAAACAGCCTAGGAATGGCATAAAAACAGATTCATCAACCAATGGAACAAGATAGAAAGCCCAGAAATAAACCTGTATATTTATGATCAATTGCTTTTGGACAAAGGAATCAAGAACAATGGGGAAAGAATGGTATCTTTAATAAATGGTGTTAGGAAAACTGAATATCAACATAAAGAAGAATGAAACTGGACTCTTATCTCATGCTACATACAAAGATTAACTCAAAATGGATAAAAGATTTGAACTTACAGATCCCAAACTGTAAAGCTAATAGAAGAAAACATAGGAGAAAAAAGCACCACAACATTGGTATGGGCTATGATACCTTGGATAGAACTCCAAAAGCACAGGCAACAAAAGCAAAAATGGACAAATGGGATTACATCAAACTATTCTGCACAGCAAAAAAAAAAAAAAAACTAACAGAATAAAGAGTCCACCCATGTATTGGGAGAAAATATTTGCAAACCATACATCTGATAAGGGGCTATTATCTAAAATATATAAGTAACTCAACTCAATAGCAAGAACACAAATAGCCCAATTTTTTAAATAGGCAAAGGATCTGAACAGACATTTCTCAAAAGAAGATATGCGAATGACCAACAGATGTGTGAAAAAATGCTTGTCTCTGATCATCAGGGAAATGCAAGTAAAAGCCACAATGAGATACCACCTCATATCTCTTCGAATGGCTATTATCAAAAAGACAAAAGATAGGAAGTATTGGTAAGAATGTGAAGAAAAAGGACCCCTTGTACATTGTTGGTGGGAATGTAAATTAGTACATCCGTTTTGGAAAGTAGTATGGAGGTTCCTCAAAAAACTAAAAATAGAATTACCATATGACCCACCAATCCTACTAGTAAGTATGTGTGTGTGTGTGTGTGTATGTGTATATACATATATATACATATATATATATAAAGGAATTAAATCAACATGTCAAAGAGATACCTGCACTCCCATGTTCACTTCAGCCTTGTTCATAGTAGCCAAGATATGGAAGCAACCTAAGTGCCTATCAAAGGATAAATGGATAAAGAAAATGTGGCATATGTATATATACGATGGAATACTATATAACCTTTAAAAGAAGGGGATTCTGTCATTTGTAACAACATGGATGGAACTGCAGGACATTATACTAAGTTCATAACATTTGTGAGTTATGAGGGAGAAATTATTCAAAAGGGAATCACCTACTTTCAATCTCAAAGTATATGAAACATCTATTTTAGAAAAAGATGTCATAGTAAATAATTAGCAAGGAGGAGAAAAATTTTAGAGTTTCAGGGCTGCCTACCTCCCTCTTATTTGTGGAAAATCCATCCAGGGGCTGGAAATTTAAACTTGTTAAGTTTGAATGTATAAAAATGACCATAAGTACAGCCATTTGGAACCTAAACCCTTCATAAGGAGAGGAACTCCGTATTTTTGTTCCAGGGAAGGGAGGTCCTTGCCATGGACTTATTTGAGGTATGATATCTCTTAAGAATCTGAATTCTGAGGTTCACAGTCATTTATTAACTGTGTGACTTTGCTCAAGTTATTAAACATCTGAACTTCCATTTAGTCTTCAGTAAAAAAAAAAAATGATAATATTTCTAAATGCAGGGTTTTTATAAGGTAAGAATGATTGTAAAGGTACCTGGTGCATAGTTAGCTATTATTGTCCTTGCCATTAAGGATATTAAGGGGAAGAGCTTGTTTTGAATTAAACTGTGCTGAAGAGGAAAGTGGAAAGGAAAGAACACAAGAACAACATGTAAAAACACATACAACAAAGTCAAGCACATAAAAATCGTTCCAGGGCCATATGCTTAAAGGGGCAGTCACGGGTGATCTTTTAATCCAGATTCCCTAGAAAACAGGACCTGATACAAAGGCCTATATATTAATAACAATTCTTTAGAGAGTACAACCCCAAAGAGGCAAGAGTAAAGGGAAAGGAGACTTGAGCCAGGGAAGGAGACAGAAAAAAAGCAAGGCGATGCACCACTAAACTGGCCACAGCTTTGCAACAAAGACTGCCGGCTGCTCAGACCAGGGCAATATCCCCATAGAGGCCTTGGGAGACCACTCTGTTTTGGAACAGCATGAGAGAAAAGGAGGAAAATGGAGCTCCTGGCTCCCATTCGTCAAAGGTTTCTGCAGGAGATGTGAACTCCCCCGCACTTTTTAGTTATGCCACCTGCCGCTCCAGGCAGCTGCCAGGGAAGCCGGATCCCTGAACAGCAGTGTCATTATCCATGCACAAGCTGAGCCAGCAAGTGAACTGGAGCCAATAGCACGCCCAACTGTCCACCTGCAGCCTACAGCTTCCCAGGAGAGTCTACCACCTCTGCAACAATAGGGAAGCCCCAGGAGAAAAGGCTGGCAATTTAAGGCAGTAGGCCAGGCATTATGAAGTCATGCCCAGAAACAACCTGAGAGACCTGGAACAAGTGGAGCATCACAACATCTTGGCCCCCACCACCAAGGCAGCCACAGAGCTCAACAAGCCTCACTTCAAGGAAGACTGAAACATCCCTTCTGCAACCCATAAGGATGCTCTTGCAGTATAATGTTTCTAGATGGTTATAATAGCACTCAACAGAAGACTGTGGCCAAGCAAATCCAGGGAGGCACATAAACTGGATGTAATGATAATGGCACAAACATAGGAGAACCAAGGTATTGTGAACTAAAAGAAGCCCTTTGTGATTCATACATCAAATATTGAGTGTATTTCAGGGTCCAGTACTATATTCGGTGCTAAAATAAATAAGATAATCAAAGATAAATAAGATACACTCTGAGAGGCCAAGGTCAGGAGTTCGAAACCAGTTTGAGCAAGAGCAAGACCCTATCTCTATTAAAAATAGAAAGAAATTAATTGGCCAACTAAAAATATATAGAAAAAATTAGCTGGGCATGGTGGCACATGCCTGTAGTCCCAGCTACTAGGAAGGCTGAGGCAGAAGGATTGCAGGACAACTGAGTAAGACTCTGTCTCAAAAAAAAAAAAAAAAAAAAAAGATAAATAAGATAATCCTTAGTCCAGGATCCAAGGAGCTCACAGTCACACAATGAAATGAAAAACTATCTATTTCGTTTATTTATTCATGTTTTGTTAATTATTTAATAATATCTGTCACCATTAAATGCTGGTTATACAATCTCTGGTACGGTTAAATTGCTCTAAGAAAACAGTTTGTTTCAAGATATTCTTGCCTCAAACAATTAATATCAAGTTAATTTAATGAATGATCTTATACTTCACATAATGCAGCTGCCAGGAACTGGTAAAACTCGGCATTTGTCTGAATGTTTTAGTACTCATGCAAAGGTGTTCCAGAATGTGTTTGCGATGGAGAGGGAAATAGTTAAAGGAGAGTTTGGGGACAAGCTTTCTGACGTGGAAAGTAAGAAAAAGAGAAAGCATGGAAATGTGGGTGTTCAAATTATGGAGGAGCACATCCCCATAGCATTATTGCAAATCCAAAAGAACAAAGATGAGATTTTAAAGTTGTTTTTCCAACTGGGACAAAGCAGTGTTATTTAGCCAAAATTTATTGGGCTCTTTACTATGTGGCAATAAGAAAAGGAAAAAACACCTGTTCTCATGGAACTTACATTCTAGTAGGGAAAGTTGAATATATGGGAGATAAATAAGTGAAACATGTCGTGTATTGCATCGTGATAAGTGCTAAGGGGGCGGAGAGCAAGGAGGGGGGAAGTGACTTTTGAGTGAAGACCTGAACAAAACCAGATGATTATGCAGATATCTGAGGAGAGAGGATCCCAGCCAGCAGAAAGATTTTAGGGAAAGGGTGTGTGTGGCTTTTTCAGAAATAGCAAAGAGCTGGGTGTGCCTAGAGCATCCGAGGGAGAGAATGGTGGATGATATCAGAGAAGTAATAGGAGCCCGAACGTGCAGGAGTCTTACAGTTTATAGTAAGAACTTTAGGTTTTTACTCTGAATGAGCTTGAAAACTCCTGGAAGGTTCTGCGTAAAATGACAGGATCTGACATGCATTTTTGTAGGATCGCTGCACTTGCTTTATGGCAGCAGCAGGGACACCAATGAGGAGGCTGCTGGACAATCCAGACACGAGATGATGACAGTTCGGACCAGAATAGTGGCAGAAGGGATGGTAAAAAGTGTTGGAATTCCTGGTAAATTATGAAGGTAAAATCAATGTGATTTAAAGACCAACTGAATGCATTTGGCAAGAGAGGGAAGTCGAGGACAACACTGAAATTTTTGGCCTTGAGCAACCGGAAGGATGCAGTTGGCATCTACCAGGATGGGGAAGACAGTGGGAAGAGTAGGTTGGGAGCAGGTGGCTGGTGGTGGCAGGAGAACAGGAAAAGCTCAATTTTGCATATGTTCAATCTGAGATGCCTGATAGGCATCAGGGTGGACACATCACAGAGCAATTGGATATACAGGCCTGGAGTTCAGAGGAAGATCCCAGGCTGGAGACTTAAATTTAAGAGCCATCGGAATATAGATGGTATTTAAGGCCATGAGATTATTCACACTTTCCCCAAACTAACTATTCCTGTCTTATTCTCCATGCACTAAACAGGTGCCACTGTTTAGGCACCGTTTTAAAAAAGAAATAGTACTTCTGACACCAAGGAACACATTTATAGATTTCCCTACTCAGAGAAGTACTATAGTATAAAATAAATATTTAAATAACAGCAAAGAAGGTTTAATTAAATTAACAACCAAACAATTCAAAGTAAATTTATTAAGGGCAATTCAGTTGTTTAAGTTTACACCCTTTACACCCTCGCCCAAGTTTGAGGTGTTAAGGTGATCATTTCATAATAAAAGAATAAGTCTTTAGAACAGGTCAACCCTGGGAGCAGTCCACTCTGTTTGCCACAGAAAAAGTAAATTACCTGCCTGTGTTAGTTTGCTATGGCTGTGTATTAGTAAGGGTTCTCCAGAGAGACAGAACCAATAGGATGGATAGGTAGATAGATAGACAGACAGACAGACATATGAAGGGGATTTATTAGGGGAATTGGCTCATGCAGTTATGAGGCTGACAGGCTGTCTGTAATCTGAAGACCCAGGGAAACTGGTAGCTGGGACGTGGCTCTGTCCACGTCCGAAAGCCTCAGAACTAGGGAAGCCAGTAGTGTAGCTCTCGATCCAAGGCCAAAGGCCTGAGAACTCCGAGGGCCCACTGGTGCAAATCCCAGAGTCCAAAGGCTAGAGAACCTGGAGTTCTGATGTCCCAGGGCAGGAGAAGAAGGGGGTCCCAGCTCCAGAAGAGAGAGAGCAAATTCGCCTTTCCTCCGCCTTCTTGTTCTATTCAGGCCCCCAGCGGATTGGACAGTGCCAGGTCACACGGAGGGTGGATCTTCCCCACTCAGTCCATGGACTCACATGCCAGTCTTTGAAAACACTCTCATAGACACACTCAAACATAATGCTTCACCAGCTATCTCAATAACCCTTAATCCAGTCAGTTTGACACCTAAAATTAACTATCACAGGCTGCCATGAAAGTACCACAGACTGTGTGGCTTAAACCAGCAGTCCCCAACCTTTTTGGCACCAGGGACTGGTTACATGAAAGGCAGTCTTTCCATGGACGGAGGTGGGGGTGCTGCGTTTGGAGCCGGGGCAGGGGAGGGAGACAGGGCTCAGGCAGCGACACGAGGCCTGGATCCTTACAGGCCTCCGACCAGGATCAGGCCACAACCCAGGGGTTGGGGACCACAGGCTTAAACCACAGAATTTATTGTCTCACAGTTCTGGAGACTAAAAGTCCGAAATCAAGGTGCCAGCAGGGTTGGTTCCTTCTGAAGGCTGTGAGGGAAGGATCTGTTCCAGGCTTCTGGTAGACGAACAACTTCTCTCCACATCTCTTCACACCATCTTCCTTCTGTGCATATCTGTCTCCAGATTTCCCCTTTTTATAAGGACACCAGTCACATTGGATTAGGACTCACCCTAATGTCCCCACTTTAACTTGATTACTTCAATAAATAACACATCTCCAAATAAAGTCACATTCTGAGGTACTTGGAGTTAGGAATTCAACAAACGAATTTGGGGGGCCCACAATACCACCCATAATAATGCCTATATAAAATAATGAACCTAAATTTCAAGACTGCCTTGAGGCTTAAATGAGATACTTACAGTATCTGATACAGTACCTGGCATATAATAGGCAATCAAATTATAAAGTAACAGAAAAAATGATTTGACAAACAGCAGTAATCTAGTAATCTAAGTACAGTCCCTAAAAAAACCTTCCAATAATGTAATAAGTTGGCTGTAAAATTAGTGAAAATGTTATTTTCCTTTAGAGCCAGCCAAATCTTGCAGATGTAAGTGTATTTGGGTGACCTGAAAACTTGGGAAATGATTTAGGATTTAAAGTTGGCATTATAAGGATCTAGAGATCCACCCAACAAGAGATCCTTAATTTATCTGTGCGGAAATTAAAGTTCTTTTATTTGCAAAGGGCATTCATTTTTTCATCATATATTTTTTTTTTCATCATATATTTTTCAATTGATTGCTAATGCCAGTCTCTGTGGTACATGCTGGGCATCAGAGGTTAAAGAGATAGACTGCCAGCTCCCAAGAAATTTTTCATTAAGTGATGGAGACAGATGTAACAAGTATTTACATAAAAAATATGATAATGGGGGTAAAAATAGAATGCTACATAACCACAATCCAACTGGGGTGTTGGGGAAGATTTTTTAGAGGAGATAAGAGTTGAGACGGCTTTGATGGACAAAAAGCTGTTACCAAATTAAAGGTTAACTAGACAATAGAGGAAGGGAAGACATTCTAATCAGAGTTATATCATCTGAAACTTTCTAAATATATAAAGTAAAAATTTTCTTATAGAACAGTAAATATGCAGTCTTTGAAGAACAACCACATTATGTTCAACATTAGCATGTAAGTTGAATAGCAGATCTTGGCATCATGAGGTGCGCGTGTGTGTGTGTGCACACGTGTGTGTTTTAATATTGAACCACTTGGAAAGTACTTAGTATGCCATATTATAATTTGAAAGCTCTAAACCTAAAAGCCTATTTCTACCTAATAAGCAACATCGTTGGCAGATGAAAGAATTCCATGTCAATGTGCACCCACGGTAGCAGGATTGAGTGGGAGGGGACCTCTGTAAAAGCTAGTGGCTTACCATCATGAGGGAAAAAAGAATTAGCAAGGGCAAAAAGGCTTCCAAGAATTTGAAAAATAACATTCATTCATTCTTTGGCTGCCAGGGAGCTCAAAGGTAAATTTGCTATGAAATTTTAATAACCATATAGAAATTTAAACCTATATAACAGTTTACCCTTTTCTCTCAGTTTTTATTCCTCTATTCTATCAAAGTGGTGGTTGTATATACATACTAGTAGAGAATAAAAGAAGAGAAGCAATTGAATTTGGGATGTGTTTAGTTTGACATGCTTTTGCTACATGCAGGTGCAAAAGTATAGTAACTGTTTAAATGCAACAGGGGGAGAGAGAAGAAGAAGAAGAAAGATGGATTTAGTGTAAGGAATTTACTCACATGATTATGGGGGCTAAAAAGTCCCGTGTGTGTGGTACACAAGAATCCCAAGAGAGCCAGTGGCATAGCTACGGTCTGAGGTCAGAAGAAAACCAATGTCTGGGCTCAAGCAGTCATGCAGAGAAAGAGTGAATTTTCCCATTCTTCACCTTTTTGTTCTATTCAAGCTCTAAACAGATTGGATAACGCCCACTCACATTAGGGAGAGCAGTCTGCTTTACTCAGTCTACCATTCAAATGCTAAGGTCATCCTGAAATATCCTCCCAGACTCACCTAGAAGCAGTGTTTAACTATGTATCTGGGCACCCCATGGCCCTGTCAAGTTGACATCAAAATTAATCATCACACCACCATATCTTAGTGACTTCCAAATCTGCTTCTCTAGCTGAGAGCTATCTTATGAACTCCAGACTCATACTGACAGGCCCACTCGGATGCCTAGTTAGCATCTCAAGTTCACATATTCAAAAACCATGCTCCTGCCATTCTCCCCAAATCTACTTCTTTCTGTGGTCCCCATCTCAGTCAATGGCCACTCTGTCCTTCCTCACATTCACCAAATCCTGTTGACTTTATGTTTGAAACAGAAAAATAATCTGGCTTTTTCTTACCACCTTACATCTATCACTCTGGTGCAAACAGCCATCAACTCTTGCCTGGGTTATTGCAATTTTCTCTTGTCTTCCTGTTTTTCCCATGTTCTCCAATGTCTATTTTTGACACATCTGCTGGAAGTCATGTTATTTCTTTCCTTAAAACCCTCAAACAGATTGGAGTAAAAGCAATATTGGCTGACAGTGTTCTGCCTGATCAGAGAGGCCCCAGTTACCTCTCTGGCCTCGTTTCCTGTTGCTCCCCCGCTCGTTTCATCCACTGGAACCATTCAGTCTCATCCTGCTCCTAGAGCAAACTAGGCATAACCTTGCCTCCGGGCCTTTGCATATACTTTTCCTTCTGCCTAGAATGTTCTTCCCACAGATGTCCACAATAGTAACTTCCTCATCTTTCTCTTTCAGCTCTTTTCACAGATGTTCCCTTCTTAGTGGGGCCTTGTCTGACGATTCAATTTAAAATGACAACCCTGACATCTACACATTATAACTTCCATGCCTGAACTAGCTTTCTCCACAGCTCTTGTCACTGCCCAACCTATTATAGATTGCACATACTTACAATGTCCTTACTTAGCTTTCCTCGTACCCCTATTACTACCTAACATATTATAGACTGCATGTCTCACAAGAAGGTGAGTTCCATGAGGGTAGGCATTTTGTCCCCTGAGCCCAGAAGAGTGCCTTGCAGAGTAAGTGTCCAATTAATATTTGGTGGATATTGAACAACTCAATGACTGAACACATAGATCTGGAACCCAAGTAGGGAAAAGAAAAGGGAGGGGGCTGTCACTCCCATGTGAGTGGAAGCTGAAATTGTGATATTATGATCAAGGGGAGATCACTGAGGCAGAATGTATTAAGGCTGGTGCTAAAGTAATTGCAATTTCAAGCAGTGAATTTTAGATCATTCTAACTAAGCTAAAACATCTTTATTAATCAGAATAGCAACCATTACAAGCAACACATTTTTGTCAATGAGAAATAAGTTTGTTTATTCCTGTAGCATAAAAATCCATGTTTCACTATTCAACAGACTCTCGGAAAGCATTTTCTGCATCCTGCTGGTGGTGGAAGCATTTTCTCTACAGAAAGTTGTGGAGATGCTTGAAGAAGTGGTAGTCGGTTGGCAAGAGGTCAGGTGAATCTAGCGGATGAGGCAAAACTTCGTAGCCCAATTTGTTCAAGTTCTGAAGCATTGGTTATGCAATGTGTGGTCAGGCGTTGTCATGGAGAAGAAGTGGGCCCTTTCTGTTGACCAGTGCCGGCTGCAGGCATTGCAGTTTTCGGTGCATCTCATCGATTTGCTGAGCATACTTCTCAAATGTAATGGTTTCACCAGTATTCAGAAAGCTGTAGTGATCAGTTTGGCAGCAGACCACCAAACAGTGACCATGACCTTTTTTGTGGTGCAAATTTGGCTTTGAGAACTGCTTTGGAGCTTCTTCCTGGTCCCACCACTGAGCTGGTTGTCCTTGGTTGGTGTATAAAATTCAGTCTTCGTGGCACGTCACAATCTGATCCAGAAACGATTCATTGTTGTTGCATACAATAAAAGAAGATGACATTGCAAAGTGACGATTTTTTGATTTTTAGTCAGCTCATGAGGCATCCACTTATTGAGCTTTTTCATCTTTCCAATTTGCTTCAAATGCTGAATGTAGAACAGTTGACGTTGGGTTCTTTGGCAACTTCTCATGTAGTTGTAAGAGGATCAGCTTTTTTTTTTTTTTTTGAGACAGAGTCTCGCTTTGTTGCCCAGGCTAAGGTGAGTGCCGTGGCGTCAGCCTAGCACACAGCAACCTCAAACTCCTGGGCTCAAGCAATCCTCCTGCCTCAGCCTCCCAAGTAGCTGGGACTACAGGCATGCGCCACCATGCCCGGCTAATTTTTTCTATATATATCAGTTGGCCAATTAATTTCTTTCTATTTATAGTAGAGATGGGGGTCTCGCTCTTGCTCAGGCTGGTTTCGAACTCCTGACCTCGAGCAATCCGCCCGCCTTGGCCTCCCAGAGTGCTAGGATTACAGGCGTGAGCCACCGCACCCGGCCAAGAGGATCAGCTTTGATGATGAAAAAGTTCTGGTGATAGTTGTACAACATTGTGAATGTATCTAATGCCACCGAATCGTTGACTTAAAAACAGTTAAAATGGTCAACTTTATATTGTATATTTTACCACAATAAAGACTCAAAAATATGTAAGAGCTTTAAAATGACCCAGGAATTCCACTTTTAATGACTCTTGTGGAAATAAAGCAAAATGTGAGCAAAGATGTTTATCAGAATGTTATTTATAATTGCTAAACAACTCTTGGAAACAAGACCATGGTCACATAAATGATGGCACACTCCCACTAACCTAGCAGCTCAGGAGACCGGGAACCGTGTCTGTTCTTGCTCTCCATTCATTTCATCTCTACCGCCTTCCGTGCGCTTGGCACCTGAAAGACACTCAACAGATACTTGCTGATTTAATTAATAAGGTGAAATGCGATATAGAAGCATATTTATAAAATATTTTGATGACATAGAAAAATGGTTTGATATAGTAAGTGAGAAACAACACGATAAGACTTGTGTATATAATTGGATTTCAGCTACATAAAACAAGAGTTCTTGGCATGTGAAATAATGGATTCTCTTAAGCCAATCTGAGTTGTAGTTTATTATACCCAAAAACATCCCAACAGATCCTTCCACCCACACAGGAACTTTACTTATAAAAATTTCCTCATGCTTTCCCAGAGATTATTAGAGAAAAATCCAGAAAGTAGAAAGAGTAGTTGTACCATTAATAAAAGTTACCTGACAGCAAGGGAAAAAACAGGAAAATTATTTAAACAAAACACAAAAGAGCAACCATAGTGCCACAGAACACAGCTGGCTGTAGCCATTCAGTATAGGATCAGACAGTTTTATAGACCTGAATAACTTTTTCAGCTAAGAATAATAATCGATATTTTGTAATGAGGATGCTGAGTCACCAATAAAAATGTCCAGGTTGGGCAATCTATTCTGTTTGAGAAGATAGTGCATTATATGCATTATATAACACAGTTTGGAAGGATTTTCATTAAAATGTTTAAAATATTTAAAAGTTTTGATGCTTAACAGGGGTAAACAGAAATTAAATTCTTCTAGAAAATTCACTTATTTTCTCAATATTGTCGAAGAGAAATTAAAAGCTATTTTATTTGACAATCTAAAATTCTTGTATTTATGTTGGAAATTGGGTTTCCCTAAGACCTGGAGTGCATAGCGGGTCACCTGGAATGGAACAGAGGGCTTGTTTAAAATGCAGTTTCCTCAGCCCTTCCTCCAAAGACTCTGGGGTGGAGCTTAAGTACTGGACCTTTTAACAGGGACCCCAGATGATTTGGTCTAGAGACAGTAGAATCAAGCTATGAAGACTTCATTTAGGAATTGTTATAGAGTTCCCTGCTTTACCAAGGCTCCAGCTCAGAACATACTACTGCTTGCTACTCCACACAAGAAGAGGTAGATAGCCTCACTTCTTAGTTTATAGGAAAGTACTAACCTACCTAGCTACTGTATTTTTAAGATAGTTGAGGATCAGATCTGCCCTAACTGTACCAAGATTGTATTGTTATGTTTTTGACTTTAAAAAACTCTTACTCTGCCATTAATAAAATTTAAAGTAAAGTTGGGGTTAACAACTATATCTCAGATTTCATATTTATTCTTGATAAAAATGTAATATCGTGTATGCTATTAGTGGTCTCCAGTGTCAATTCAGTATTTTAGTAGAGTGTTTTCACTGGGGTGCTTGGGCACTGTCGCTGCTTTCTCTGACTCCTTGAGATGTTTAATCCCAAAATCTGATACCTAGATGAAGGGTGAGTTATTTGTAAGACACTAGGAAAAGCATTGAATATGAAGCATTGAATATGGAAGAACCATATTCAAAATCTGATACCTAGATGAAGGGTGAGTTATTTGTAAGACACTAGGAAAAGCATTGAATATGAAGCATTGAATATGGAAGAACCATAATCAAATGTATTACAAGACTGAAAAGTTTGGGGATTTACTTGGACATGGCATTGATATTTTTCTCCCTGAGTCGACCTTAACCAAATAATCATGAAGCTTTAAAAAGTATCATGTTAACACTTTCCAAAATAGTTTTCAATATGGGAATTATTTCAGAATTCATTAACTTCCATTATGTCAATTTTCTGCCAGTCAAAGAATTTTTATTACTGCTTCTCCTCCCCCCCCCCTTTTTTTCCGTGGCAAGTCTGGGCTCAAAACGACCTTCTAGCCACCCAGATTTCCTTAGAAACATGTCTTTTTGCTGCCTGAAATATCTGTTCATTCTTCAAACCTCAGATCATATATTTCCTCCTCCAACAAACCTTTTCCCAATTGCCCAGGCAGAGCTGTGGCCCTACAGCTGCCATCACAGCACTCGCCATGCTGCAGTGTAATAACCATGTACGTGTCTGTCTCCCCCAAATAGACTATGAACAGGTCAAAGGCAGGCCCCATAGCTGGAGGCCAGACATTCATTCTGAGCATGGGGATAGAAGAGGGCATGGAGTGTTTGACAGACCTGACAGAACTTGATGACCAATCGCATATGGGAAATGGAAGGACCAGAGAGAATTGAAAAGGTTTCTATGATTTCATTCATTCATTCATTCATTCATTCAACAATTCAGTAACTACTTATAAAAGAGTGTCTAGATGATACTTCATTAAGAAAAAAAGGAAATATAAGGAGAGAAGCAACCTGGGGGGATGAGATCAGATGAGAATATGTTAAGCTTAGTTGCCTGCAAAGGCTCCAGGTAAAGCAAGTCTGGAGAGGAGAAGTGGGGTCCAGGCTGCAGATGAAGGAGGAGCCATCAGCAAGTAAGGCCTGGGCATGACCAGACACACAATTGGTGGGGCCTGGTGAAAAATAATAACATGGGGCCCCTTGTTCAGAAAGCAGGGGAAAAATTCCCTAAAGGTACTAAGATTCTAAAACATAAAGCACTTCCTTTCTGCCACTCTGTCCCTCTCTGAACATGTCTTGGCATTTTTATTTGCTATTTGATGTTCTAAATTTAAAATTTTTACATTATTGGCATAAATTTTACTATTCATGTTTATATTGGGCAATGCCAGGTCTAAATGTAAATATTAGAACATTTAGTTCCTGCGTGAAATCACTGAAATCACACAATTCTGGGGTGAAATTACACCCCAAAGGGTGTCCTGTGCTGGTGAGAAGAAATGAGCACTATTCCACACTCAGGGAAACTAAAAGGAGGAGGAAAGGATTCCCCAGGCACAGAGTGGTCCAAAGCATCAGGGAAGACTCACTCGGCAAGTTCAGACTGTCACAGGTGCTTGAGGGCCAGGGCAGGGACTCAGAAGGTCCTTATGCACTTGGGCCAGACCACTGCCATGTTCCCTGTTCCCTGTCCCACCAGCCCCCAGACCCGCGGACCACACCTCAGCAAGGGGTGAGGAAGTCAAGTCAGGCGTCTCCCCTTTCCACGGGTCAGATGGACAACCCTAGGGTGTCACAACCTCTGCACCAAGATGCACCAAGGATCTGGGCGGTAAGAGGCTGGCCCCCACCACGTTGCCCACTCTTGAGCTGTGGTACTGCTAGCCTGGGGTGGGGACAGCCACCACTGCCAGGCCTTACCTGGAGATGCCCCGTGAGTGCAGGTGCAAGGCCCCCAAACCTGCCTGCACCTGCACTCAGACCCCCGCCAGCGAGGAGGGCAGCCGCAGTCGTGGCAGGGGGTGTAGGAGGAGGACAGGCAGGGCCCAGGGTGGGAAGGGCGGAGGAGCAGGTGACCAAGAACCCTTCCCAGAAGGCAGCCAGAGGTGGGATGGCACCTCAGCTGAAACGCTAAGTCCCTGGCACATGCCTCGCTCACAGAAGGCAAGTTCAGAGATGACTTTGTAAGGACTCCAGGACGGCAGGTGCAGAGCGTCACACCGCCGGGTGGCGCCCTTCTGAGTGCGGACCCGCTCAAGCGCAGTCACTGCTCTGGAGCCCGGGAGGCCAGCTCTGGTCTGCGAAGTTGCCCACGGGGATGAGGAAGAAGAGGACCAAGGAGGAGGGAACACTGGGGGAGCCGCGACATGAGGGAGCTATGTGGTGGGGGGAAAGAGCAAAATAAGAGCAGAAACAAAACAGCGCAGCAGACAGAGAATTAGGCCCGGAGGCCGAGAGAAGGGAGAACTACAGCAAA